GAGTGGATTTTGGGTAGTGAAAATGACGGATCGTGCTCGCTTGATATCGGCATTTATCACTTCTTTCGGGTTATTTGAGTGGAACCGGATGCCTTTCGGCAAGAAGAATGCGCCTCAGATCTATCAACGTTTGATCGACAACGCGCTATATGGATTCACCCGGATCCCGAAGTCTGAAGATCATGGAGGTACTTTGGATGTGTTAGAGGTCGGGGAACCGGTGGATCCAGACAAGCCATCGGTGCTTGGGCGTAGATCATATATCGATGACATCCTGATCCCAGCAAATAACTGGGATCAGCTATGTGATCGAGTCGAGAGTTTACTTGAAGCATGTGATAAGTGGAATCTGTCGATCAGTGTGGTCAAGAGTTTCTGGGGAATGCCTAAGATGGAATATCTGGGTCATAAGGTCTCCCCCAATGGACTGTAGGCGAACCCGAAGGATCTACCGGTGTTGACGGATCTAGTATTCCTTAGATTACTTCGAGCCATGCAGTCATTTTTGGGAAGTCTGAACTATTACAGCCGGTTCATTGAAGGCTATCCAAGTTATGCGTCCGTTCTGTATGAATTGCGAGAGATCGACTTTGCTGTGGTGGTGAAAGAGGCCCCCCAAGCGCGGATATAACAAGCGCTGGAAGCGAAGAATTCGGATCGAGGATCACAGGTAGGTCAGGAGGTTGACCACTAAAGGACGTTGGATCTGGAGGCGCCAGATCCTACCGAAATGGATCCACGCTGGATCCATACCCATCGATCCTTCAGTGCGCTCAAAGCCAAGATCGCTACTACTCCGATCCTACGGCACTTTGATCCAGATCGGAGGGCCACGGTTGTGGTATATGCCAGCGATTGGGTCAATACAGGAATACGACCAGATCTACTATCCCGTGATGTTTGCAAGCCGCATTCTGAAGTCGAATGAGCTAAACGATGGCATCGCAGAGAAGGAGGTATTAGTCCTTCTGCGGATCCTGGATCTTAACTACAATGCACTGGTCGGACGCCCGATCCACGTGTTGACCCGACACTCAACATTGACGTGGCTCTTCAGATCCACGGTCCTACAGGGACGTCTGGGACAGTGGGCCGCTCTGTTGTCGTTCTGGACTCCGGAGATCACCAAGTGTGTCAAAGGAGAGGACGAGATCTTAGGATCACTGGCCGCCAGATTACCCCTAGATCGGAAGTGGATAAAACATTGATCTCAATTGCCCCTAAAAAGGAGCCAAGACGCAAGATCTAAGCCCCGATCCCCACTATTAGACGAGATGAGGAGCTATACTCGTCAATTTCGATGGGCCTGCCCGTGTCAAGAGAGATGGAGGCGCCTACAGCGCGATCTTGAGGAAGCTGCCCGAATGGAGGGTGCTGAAGGCTAGATCTGGGTACGCCGAAGGCTTGACGGTGAATGAGGCGGAATATCGTGGGTTGTTGCTATGTTTGGATCTGTTAGAAGATCTGGATCCACGACGTCTGGTGGTCTGCGGAAGCTTAAACCTGGTGATCAGACAAGTACGAGGAGAGATCGATTGTAAGGCACCGGGTCTGACACTGTTATGCCAGCGGGCTTTGGATCGACTACGTACTTGGCCAGATCATGAGCTGTTACATGTCAAACGAGATTGGAACGAGAGTGCTGACAGCTTAGCAAGTGCTGCCCTGCAACGGCAATGTGGGATCGAGATAGAGTCAGACATAGAGATCCAGGATCTCATAATCTTAAATCGGTTGGATAAGATCCTGATAGTGAAAGTCGAAGACGAGATCGCACAGATATCATCTGTGATGACCCGATCTAAGGCTAGATCGGGAGTGCGTATTGGATCTGATCCAGACTCCCTACGAGAGGAAGTCGTGACAGAGCTACGGATCGAGCGGATCCGACAAGCGCAGGACGAGGAGTCGTGGATCATGGGCTTGAAGAAGTATTTGGTCGGGGAGATCCGGGATCTGACACAAGAGGAGGCTAAGATGTTTGGATCTATTGCTATGAATTATGAAGTGGATCAGTTGGATCTACTCTTCTATTACCCGACGACTAAGGAAACCACTGCAGATCGAGATAAGTTGATGCGACTGGTGGTACCTGAGACGCTTCAACAGGACATGTTGCATCACTATCACACAAGCCTACAGGGTGGCCATCAAGGGATCGGTCGCACCTACGATCGGATTCGTGATCATTTCCACTGGAGAGGGCTGTACAAGAGTGTACAGCGATATGTGGGGCAATGTGTCAATTGTGAAACAGGCAAGGGACGACCCCGGATCCAGGGCGAGCCACCTGGTAACCTTCAGGCGACATACCCATTCCAGATCATTGTGATGGATCACATACTTTCATTGCCTAGATCCTTCAACGGCAACACTGAATTGCTGGTCATCGTGGATCTATTCTCGGGATATGTGATCGCCAAAGCCAGCGCCTCTAGATCCGCTCAGACAATCGCCGAGACCTACGAGGAATGTGTCTTCCGCTGATTTGGCGCGGGCGAGGTGATCCGGGACGATCAGGAGCCAGGCTTCTTTAAGTCTTTCAACACGATCCTGGGACAACGCCAACGGGCTACCATGGCTTATCGACCCCAAGCTAATGGATCCGCAGAGCGTATGGCCCAGACAACTACCAGGGCTCTTAAGAGGTATGTGGAGGATCTAGATCAACGAGATTGGGACGAGTATGCTGAGCGGCTCACCTTCGCGATCAACACCGCAAGAGATCGGGTCCGAGGTGAAACCCATTTCTACATTATACATGGTTGGGATCCTAGATCCACCTTGGAAGCGGTGATCCGGGTGGGGAGCACCCGTAGGTACGATCGAGATCCAAGAAGGTGGCGATATCGGATGCAAAAGTACTATCAACAAGCCCGAGAACAAGTGAACCAACGTTTACGCAAAGCGATCGCGGATCGGGCCGACGTGCATAATGATCTAGTACATCCTCATCCTGTAGAGTCTGGATCAAGGGTCTAGTTATGCCTAGATCGAGTGCGTGAAGGATATGCAAAAAAACTGGCGCATTTGTGGATGGCCCATTCTGCGTTGCTGAACAGATCGGGGAATACGCAGTGAGGTTGGAGGTTGCAGGATCAACATACAGCATTTTCCCGGTGGTGCATGTTTCTGGTCAAGATATTCCCAGATCGGCCAGTAGCTCGTCTAAATGGGTCAGAGGGAGATCGGGTGGACTTCGATGAAGTTCTCCTACCCTAAGACAGCTGGATCCAGCCAGGATCGGGGTCCGGATGAATACGAAGTGGAGCGAATTTCCGATATGAGGACTGGCAAGAGAACTAGATATGGCCGGATCTACCGAGAATTTCTAGTACACTGGCGTGGATGTGAAGATCCAACTTGGGTAGATGAGACAGATCTCAACTGCGGTGCTCTTCTCTATGAGTTCTTGCGTGATCGCACCAATCGTAACCGTTTTGGTGTGATACGGTCTCACGAGGAACCGTGATTTTCACGTCAATACAGCGATTTGGGGCACAGTCACGTCGTATTGTAGTGA